CAAATTGGTTACCCTATCTGGGTTACACTTCACATTAGGAAATATGCTTTTTAGGAAGAATTTTACCAGTATCTAGGTTGTCATTTGAATTCTTTATTAAATATGATCAAGGTTATATAGCAGCTTATGTGAAAATGAATCGTCGAAAGATAGTAGTGATAGTGATAATAAAAATTATAATAATAATAATGATAATGATAATAATAATAATAAAAGTAATATTAATGATGACATACATGTCAGACATGCGCAAGATAATGACAACACCAACAATAAGGAATCTAAATCATCAGTAGTAATTCCATACAAGGAAGGAACCTCAGAAACCTTACTCAGAATTCTTAACAAGGCAGGCAGGAATAAAAGTGGCTGGCATTCAAATCACCCACAAACTCAATTAGAAACAAGCTCTGTCGGTGAAAAGATCAATCCTGTGGAGCCTTTAAAACAAAACAATTCAGTCTATCTAATACCCTGCCTGAAATGGTTGTCAGGTCAAATACATAGGTCAAACTAGTAGAACAGGTACAGTCAGAGCAGAGCAGCACAAATACCCATCAAAATCTAGATTGGTTGACCCGAATAAGATAAGAAATCTAGAAAATAGTTCAGCTATAGCACTTACTAAGTGCATTTATACACAACCATACAATAGGATGATGGGATAAGATGACAGTTTTAAAATCCAAAGTAACAGGGTGGAGGGAGAGATTGATAGCAACGGAAGTCTTATTTGTATGTAATAGGAATGATTCAACACCTGAACAGCCGGATATCTGGAAAATTCTACTACCTTAGCAATGACAAATGGGAGAGGACAAAGAAAACTATTAAACTAAAGTTTTGAATTCGTGTGATTATGATTGGTGATATGATTATGAACAATAATAAATTTTGTTCGAGATCTTGTCATCCATTATGTAACAATACTGTTTCACTGTGTGATACATCTAATAAACAAACTAATGTGGAATTGTATAAAATCTAATTTGCCCCTTATATTATATAGTACATAAGGAATTAATCAACCGGTCATTTAAACCGATAATATTACTGGACAAGAATATGAATACAAAATCAAAATTTAGATAGAAATATTAACAACAACATTACAATAATTAAAGAAGGAATACAGAGGGCTGTAATTTAGTGGTATCATACCTAATACATTTTCCTCAGTACGCAAAATGTATCCTTTCCAAATAAGACATTGTAGAGGCTTAATGCCTAGTCGTCTCCCCTTACAGTCTTCTATAGTTACTTCTAGTTCTCTTAACTAATGAGATATACCAAAGAAAGAGAGTTATGTATAGAGAGGATGTTCAGAGTCCGACAAGATAATATTTTCTAATTTCTTGAATGAGTTCATGTGTCTATCTACAAGAGTATTAAGGCGTTGGTTTATCAACATCTCACTCTCCCTTCCGACAGCTTTTAATATCTTTTATAGTACAACAAAGTCTTTCTTAAGTAGTTCGGGGAAGATTAGATGTGACATGCAATAAAGATGATGTGGTAGATAGCACAGTGGTTAGGACTCTCGCCGACCATGCACATGGTCGGGGGTTCGATCCCCTGCCAACGCACACCTGATATTTATGGTCGGCCTGCAAACTTTAGGCTGTCGATATCACATGCTGAAAATTCCATACCTGCACCAAAAAATACGGTGTGGAATCAAGCTGTAATCAAAAAATAAGAATTATTAAACTGTAAAAGTAGAGACAAAGCGAATGATACCATATTGTCTTAACTTCCATACATAGGACATCAATCGATATATCTTTCTAAAAGTCTAAAATGATATTGGAAGATCAGGAAGGGTGATCAGAGGAAAAAGACACTTCAAGGTATTTAACAATTGATTTAGTTTCAACTTTCAAGGTCCTGCCTGAAAGTGGAATTATGCAGGTGAAGCAATTTATTGAAGTAGAACTTATTTTCAAAAATGAAATTAACAACCTTTAATTTTAAAGGATTTAGTTTAAGACCATTTGATAAAGGCTTCACTGACTAATTTCGGATAAAAATTTGCCCATTTTGGAAAAATCTGGTTGACAAGTAAACACTGTCATGGAAACAGATCGCCCATTATGCATACGACAAAGGTAACTCTCGTCATATATATACACTAATATCCCCTTGGGTTCCGAGTGGAAATTGGGACTTCAACAACACATCTCCACTTTCTTCTATTTTCTGCTGTCCTCTTCACCTGGCGTCACAATTGCCAATAATCCTACGTCTCCTTGCCTAACGATGTCTTCCATGTCACTCTTAAACCGACGACCCACAAGTCGCTCCCCATTCAAGTTCCACTTGAGGGTCTGCCTGAACTGAGCGTGATTTCATTCGATGGCTTCCTCAACGTATGCCCAATCCATCTCCATTTTCTCTCACATAGTTTTTGAGCTATCAGCCTGTAAGTCTTCGAGTCTGAGTGACATTAAACACAAATCATCCACACACGAAGTCCAGATTTTCCAAAGTCTTCTTATCGGTCGTCCAGCATATTCCTGACTCCTCGCCACCAAAAAAAGTCTAATGCATAATCCAGTCCACCACAATTAAGAATATCATCGGTGATAACGGATAGGCAGCGTTGTCTTCCTCCTGCATTCACTTCGAACGAATCTTCACTGAGTTTTCCTTTGTGGATCACCTGGCACGCGCCACTGTCATCTAGTCAGCTGTTGAATGAGATTGATAAAGACTTTCGGCACTGAATACCATAGTGTTGCAGCAGTTTCCAAATTACTTCTATGGGTCAACTCTGTTGAAGACGTTGTCTTTTCAAAGTCTATAAAGTTGAAGTGGAGAGAGGTTTGACTGCCATTCTATTCTTTGTTCTTTGATGACGATGCTGACAGTAGCAAATTGATCAGCACATGGTTTGTCTTTCCTGAATCCAGTCTGTTCTGGTCAGTGAGACGGATTTTTGTTTTTGATGTGGTTGTGTTCTCTGAGCTGGATAGTTAATTTGCGAAGCTTTCATTACCCTACTGGGTGACATCTTCAGCGCATACTTCAATGTGTTGAAGTGAGCTTTCAGATTTCTCCACGAGTTTATTAATCATCTCTCCTGGTGGTTGACCTTGGACGTGAATAGTTGTTTTTGTGTGTTTTCACACCTTCTAGGTTACTTGTATTGTCACTCACTGTTTCTTTGACTTGAACTTTGACCCTTTGAGTGTGTGAGGCTTCTTTCTTATCGGTTGTTAAATTTTGTCGATCTCGATGTGTCTATTGATTGATGATTCACTGGAATACCAGTTGAGCTTCTAAAAATTCTCTAGCATTCTTGATGTTTCCTCTGTCTAATATCTGAACGTTTTCCCAGTCGAATTGATGTCCGTGGTTGCCTGTATGTAGTGATATGAGGGAGTGGACATCAATTCGACTGGGACAACCAACGTTCAAATATTAGACAGAAGAAACAACAAGAATACTAGAGAATTTTTAGAAGCTCAACTGGTATTCCAGTGAATCATCAATCAATTGACACATCGAGATAGACAAAATTTTTCCAGCCGATAAGAAAGAAGCCTCACAAACAAAGGGTCAAAGTTCAAGTCAAAGAAACAATCAGTTACAATACAAGTAACCTAGAAGGTGTGAAAACACACAAAAACAACTATTCACGTCCAAGGTCAACCACCAGGAGAGATGATTAATAAACTCGTGGAGAAATCTAAAAGCTCACTTCAATTCAAATTGAAGTATGCGCTGAAGATGTCGCCTAGTTGTAGGATGATGAAAGCTTCGCAAATTAACTACTATCAAGCTCAGAGACCACAACCACATCAAAATCATTCCATTCACCTGAGCTACAAATCTTCTCTATCATACGGATTTCTGTGTCCAGTGCACATTTAATTCTCTCCAGGATGACGCAACATAGTACTTTACTTGGCATAGACAAGATCAAGTAATATATATATATCGACGTATGATTGGTCAAATTGCTGATTGGTCACATCTATGCATAAATATGAATATTATAGGTCAATTATAGTTAGGTAGGTAGGTAGGTAAATATTCTAGGCAATATATGCTTATTTTTGAACAGACAACACGTTGATCATGAGGATTTCAGTGAGAGAAAATGACACACTGGTTAGGTCTTGATCCTTAAAAAATTGAGCCTGAAGTTATAGCAGAACAGAACAGACAGGTCATATACACTCACACACACAAACATACACAGTGTTCTACTTGGTTAGATGGATAATAATAAATGAGCAATGAAGAACAATTAGAAGTCAGAAGACAAAAAAAAACGAACTGCAAACGAAACAAGAAGATGACATACAATATATATTTGTCACTTGATCATTGAATGAATACATTTCTTCCTCAGTGACACGTACACACACACACAGGAACACACGCACGCACGCACGCACATGCACATACACACGCACACACGGAATCTACCAAGTTCAAGCAATTCGTATGTGTTTTATATAGAATAATATTTCTTTGGAGAAAACAGAAAGGAAATCCTAACAGAACAAGCAAACAAGCAAAGATGTGCGTGTATGTGTGGGTGAGTACGTGCCAGCTGGACAGATAAAGAGAGAGAGAGCGGGACACACCCACATAGAGACAGTGGAAGAATGAGTGATTGAGTAAGTCTATAAATGAAGCAATGAACGAATGAGCACATTTCGGTTAACCCCCGTTACTTATTATTATAGAATATAAATAAAAACTAACACGAAATGTCATTGAGAATTTTTAGAAAGATTTTCAATATATTTCTCAATGGGAATAAAATTTTGTAAAAAAAAAAGTTTAAAAATATACTTTCTGTAATAAATAATATCACGGAAACATATATACAATATACACATATGCTAATAGGCTGAACTCAAGTATGTCACATAAACACATAAACAAATGCATGCACAAGCCTGTTTATATATTTGTGTATAAAATGGACGATAAAAAACAGTTGACTACAATTCAGGTAACACTATTCCTTGTTTTTTAATTCTGATGTGATTATTATTTTTATTTGAAAGTGTCATTTGAGAAAAGCATTTCTATGCCTCATCATCCACACTACTTACTACACAACATTTTACTGCCCGCTTCTTCTTCTGTCATGCCTATTTTATGCATATAATATCATATCATAAAAGAGGAGAGTAACATTTATACTTAATTATTTTCTCATGAATTGAGTATAATTGATTGAGTCTATGTATTCTCATGCCTATTTGACAATTCACAATTAATATTCATATTTGATTAGTTTTGTAAAAATCCCTTGTTAAAAGAATTACACATAGAACAAACAGACAGGCAGACAGTATTACGCATATTACGCAATCATCTACGAAACAAATATTAATGCATACATAAACATACATATGCACAATTATCAAGACTATTCGTCGAATGAATCCCCTTTGAGTCCACCAGTTGTTACACAGATTACATCTCCTAATGCTGTAACAACAACAACAACACTAACAACAACGGCGGTAACTGGGACTATAAACACACCTTCGAGGAGTAAATTGGATCGAAAGCCGACTAGAGAATTATCGTTACAATATCCAGGAATAAATCCAAATGTGTTGTCAGCCACTGCTACTACTACTCCTGGAACAGATTTGCATAAAAATGATTCCGTGACGGTGAATTTTCTGGTGACTAGTGGAGATACTTCTACTACTACTACTGCTGCTACGCTTACTGGAAATATTAGTAGTACTAGTAGTAGCAGTGGTCAGCAGACTATTGAATTCCCTAAATCCTCTCTTATTGGAATATCACCGAAAATTTCAGAGTATATCTTACCAAAACCGAAGCGGCCTTCATTAATACGTAGAAAAGCGAATATCACAGATACAGATGCTTTCGATGTTGTTGTTAGTACAACAACTCCGGGAACAGCGACTACTACTACGACTGGCATCAGTGCTAGCAAGAGTGATAACGGTGCTGGAATTGATTCAACTTTTCTCATGACTAAAAAGAACAATTCAGCAGATGAACAAAATCAGACTGTATTATCCCCGTCGACAACATCATTATCATCATCATCAGCACTATCCTCAACATCGAAAAAGACTGATACTGCAAGATATCTCATGAATGAAACAGGTATTGAATATAGTAATAAAGCGAAATCATCAACGCAAGAAAAAACATGTTCACCGCTTCATCCGTGTCCTTCATCCTCTCCAGTATCTCCACTGGGGTATAATCTACATCATGATTCTCTAGATCATTCACCTGGGAGTAAAAGTAGAGAGAATATCAACAACACGCCATCAAGCATTCCTGTGACAAGTAGCACTACCATAAACAGACATAAATCGAAAGATAATGAAACGTGTACATCAAAAACTGTAGTGAAATCAGCATCAATTTCACCATCGAAAAAGAATCGTTTAAAGCATCAAATCTCACAGCCAATGAATACACGGAATCGTACATCACGTAAACTTAGCACATCCTTATATTGTAATTCAGATACAAGTTTTTTATCTATGCTAGCAGCAAGTCGTCCATCCGCTGCTAAAGGTCTACTGGGTGTAGCAAGTGCAGCATTAGCAGCGGCTAGAGCTGGTACCTTTTTAAATACAAATGAAACACTTAGCACGCCTAGTAAGCTGGATAATAATAGTAATAATGCAAGAAGTTCACATTCTGCTGAAAGAAGTCAACAACAACATCAACAACACACCTATTGCCATTATCATCGTTATCATCATCCTGATAACAATCATCAAATAGGATGTGTATACTGTTCTAGTTGTCCACTGAAACCGTCTCTTCACCACAGGCAGACATTATCATCATCGGGTAAAATGAATTGGTTAGGTGAACAGCTATTGTTACACGGGTATAAGACAAGACGATTCTCTGACCCTGATCTAAATGTCACCGATGAATGCATAGATACAGCTTATTTAAAATTATTAATTTATTTAACGCATAAATCACCACATGCATTTTTTGAAGAAGATCACTTCCACTATTGCCCTGAACAGTTGTTAACTGAGAATTATGTGCAGAATAATCGAAAAGCCTCTTTACATGATGTAATACCGACAACAACTGGAATACCACCTGTCATTGGCTCAGAGATGCCAATTGATGATCTGACTAATTTTAATACTGGAATTTATACAAGTCTGATGGATTTAAATGCAGCAAATCTTTTATCACCAGGTAATGATTTAAGCGAAATAAGTAAGTGCAATTCAACATTCCTATTGAATACAGATCATTCATATTCTGATTTCTTAGAGGCAAAAGAGCATTCAAATGTATGCGCCTGTTGTCGACCAGGCATATCTCATCATGACTTGGACAATAATAATAATAATCTACAGTCGACACAGTCTTATCAACATCCACAACATCATTCACCATCAATTCAACAGCAGAAACCAACTGGATTGAATAAACATGACATAAACATAAAATCTGGTTTGTCGAAAGGAAACACTGGGCAGACAGTTCCTGTTAGTTTCACACCACATGTTAGTAAACCAAGACGTGCTGGACTCGATGCAATCGGATTAGATTTTATGCGTGCCAATGGTGCAAGACCAGGTAGGCTTACATCTGTGTTATTCTGCTTCTAATCTTTATTTTTTATGATGGCTAACGCATGATGTATATACTTTAATGATAATTTGATTATTAAATGTATAATAATGTTAAAGTGCGCCGGTGGTTAAGCGGTTAGAATGCTTGCCAACCATACACATGGTCCGGGGTTCAATCCCCGTTCGATGCACTCCTTTACCTCGCTAAGCCAGAAATAATGCTGGTAAAGAGGAAAGGTTGGGCATGAGGCCATCAATCCCATCCTGTAAAATAAACACTGCTACAGAAACTTCAAGCCACTAGCTTGAAGCCCTATGTTACACTGGGAACGTGAAGGAAAAACTATTAATAATGTTAATAGGTGAATTTCTGCTAAGATTAGAACCGTAGGTCAGTGATGTGAATTTCGAACTCAATTATAATTATTGCCCCTCGGTTCCTAGTGGAATATACAGGGCTTCAACAGCACACCTCCATTTTCTTTCGTTTTCTGCAGTCCTCTTCAGTTGAGCCCACAATTGTCTATAAGCTTCAATTTACTCCCCACACACGATCTCCTCCATGTCACCTTCAGATCCTTGCCTAACTCGTACTTTCTCATTTGTGTTCACTATGTTATTCTGCAGTCTCCTCAGCACTTTGTTTGACTCATCCACCTTAGATTCAGAAAATTCAATGATCAATAGATTCTTGGTTGATTCGCTGTCAGAGTTTCTTGTCACTAATTCTTTATCACCGACTGCCTATTTGATCTGCAATGTGGCGATAGTTGAGGCAACTGTTGAGAAATATCTACAGAAGCCTGTTGGAAAAAACGTTTCATGATACGTCAAGTTTCTGAAGTTTCATGTATGAAGAACTGACTTAAAATTCACTCTTTATTTTCAGTGAATTTCTGTAGTGCAGAGGATTTTCAAACTGAATTTAAATCTATCTAGGCTTACGGATTCTGGTTTAGATATCTTCATTCATGCCTTTGCGTGTACCGGAATTGATTCTGTCTAGATAATTGAAGGCAGTGAATTGGGAAACTACAAAATCTTGTCTGGTGATCTTATCTTCAATTTCTCATTTTTTTTCAGCACTGATCTTTCTAAAAGTTTTCAAACATGAATATATCAGATAATTGTTTGTTGAAGAGACGTCTACTTAAATTTAATATAAGTAGTATGGGGTGGCAAAATATCTTTGCAGGCAAATGATGACTTTCTTTTCCTTTAGAAGTTTGCAGGGTACTGCAAGAGGCATTTTCAATCATTATATTGTAGCTTTTGTCCCTAATTAACCAAGTCAGAAGTTGAATTCAGGATCTTTGGGTTATGACACCAGTTCACTGAAAATTCAATTAGTGACTTGGAATTTAGTTGCTCGTGAATTTTCGGATATAGCTCTTCCCACTGGGATCATTGATGAGCACTGCTCATGATGTCCCTTGAAAGTGATTCTTTAACTCTGGTTGATTCATGGCGAGGTCTAAACTGAATTATAAATAATAATATATGATGAATAGCCTGTACATGACAAGTTAGCAGCCGATTTTTGATGAGGGAACTCTCAAAGGATCTGTCATCTAAAGACTAACTGAATAAGTGAAGTTTTTTGAACAAGGCGTTTTTCTTTAATCACGAAATATGCACATTGGATAACAGGAATTTTATAAAAAGATGGTTGAAGTGAAGAAAATTTTCTTTTCAAGGAAATCGTCATCAACTAGATGATCGCTGTACATTCGTGTATTTATTTATAGTAAATATGTGAGAAAGTTCCAGAATTATTAGTTCCGGCCAAAGGTTAAATTAATAAAATTACAAAGTACACATGCAGGAAGATAGGATAGAAAAGACGTAGTGGGATTATGATTACTGAAAAACTTGACTGTTTTTAACAAATTATCTATTAAGGACGTAGTAATAACAAAGTAGGTCGGAAGTTCGGACACATAAAAAAATTTTTAAAAGCGGCAACGAAGTAAATTAATGCATATAGGAATTACAAAACACGAAAATAACAGAAATAAACAGGAGGGTTAAGTAAGAAAATAAAAAATAAAATAATCGTTATTGATGGGACTGGTTATTCGTGATGGCCGCGGTCGGGACAACGTTTGAACGTATTCCTTTTGAACATAGCATGGACTTGCGTTTTGGATCGTCAGTGCCTCAGCTACTCCTAGATGGCTTGATTTCACTCCCTTCGATAAGTTTGATTGGATCTTGTATATGACTTTGAAGGACCTTTCCAACAGATCTCAGTGTCCTGAATTATTCCTCAGATGTTATTTTATGGAACTGTATGCACCCTTGCAATCCCCCTTTGCTAACCGTGCTGAATAGTGTTCCCGATAGCGTTTTACAAGCGGATATATACTACTGCTAATGCACTCGGCTCCACATGATCTAGTGAACTGGTACATGCATGTCAAAGTCGTGGCTCAATGCGACAGCTTGTCTTTCAAATGCTGCCTGAATTGTTTCTTGCAGGAGAATGTTAATTGTAGGCTGGTGGCGAAGTATGTTCTACAGGGAGACTTCGAAAGCTTCTACTGAGATGTTTTGCTTTGGTATCACTTTTATATTCGAGGCTAAGTATAAGCATCTATTTGAAGGGGGCGATTTGGACCTTTTCAGATGTTTTCATTGGTTTAGATTCTCTTCAATGAATCTGGTTCGGAATACATTTTCCATCAAAGTCCCTCGAATATTACGCTATTCTTCGTCAGCATATATATGACAAAGAGTTAAGAGGTGAGAAAATAGACTACTTAGGTCAAGTTAAAAGGACATATTGAAAGTTAAAATAACAATGAAGATCACTAAACCAAATAACATAGGTAATAAATAGAACATCTTTTATGGTATCAAAACAAAGTTTACTAACTTGATCATCTTTCGTTAGACTGGGGTCATTTCTCGTCGCCAAGTTGGTCAATTGGTAAAGATAACAAAATCAAGTGTGGATTGTAGGATTTGATAAGCGTATAAAATTATAAAAGCAGCGTGTGTTTACATAGTGAACTTGCATATCACATTCGTGTTGATTTTGTCATTTCATGTGAGAAATTGGGGGTGTTGTAACCAGGTCAGATTCTGTTATAGTCCATCATTCCTATTCAGACAATTTGGATTCCACTTGATGTGAAGTGCTTCTGATATCAGACGTTCTCTATGATTTCTGAAGTTTTTCTGGATGATGATTTCAATATTGTCAAAATCAATTTTGTGACTTGATTCTACAGCGTGTAGACTTATGGCTGGCTGTCGACTTTTCTAGATTTTCTAGTTCAACTGGACTTCTCGGTGGTCGAAAAGAGGCTCTACAGTGTTCATTTCTTCTGATCTTGATTTCTCGAGATGTTTGTGCGATGTATATCGCATCACATTCCAAGCATTTTAATTTATAGACACAATTGGATACAGAATCTTCAGGGATGTGGTCATTTTTATGGACAAGGTTGCTTTGAAGTGTGTCTGATGTTTTGAAGAAAACTCTTATGTTGAGCTGATTGAGTACTCTTCTGATATCATCCGACGTCTCTGATCTATATGGAATGACGACCGTCGAGGTCCATGTTTTCGGAATGCGGTTTTGGCCATACTTAATGTCTGTGTTGATTTTGTTGATGAATTTCGTTGGGTAGTTGTTTTGCTTGAGACTTTCACTAATGTTTGATATTTCTTCTTTCTCTTTCTCATTCATAACCAAAGAGTGTGCTCGTCTAAGAAGACTTGAAACAACTGAAAACTTTGTGCTGATGGGGTGTGATGATCTGAATTCTAAATATTTATTGGAGTGGGTTTTCTTCCTGAATATGGATATACTAAAATGTCCGTTTTTCCTTCTCTTAATTAGGCAGACAGTCTAGAAATGTTAGTTCACCGCCTCTGATTCTGCTTCCGAAGTAAACTGGACTCTGGAAGATACACAGTTTATTTTCTCTAGGAATGAATTGTGCAGATCTCGTTTTAGTACTATAATAATATACGTTAAATTGTAATCAAAAGTCTAATAAATACAGGAAATGTTTTCGTTTTGTTATAGATCCGACAGAGATCGACGGATAATTGACTGTCCAACAATCTATAGTAGTTGGTTTTTGATTTAGTTCTTGAATATCTTACCAAAGTAACCTTTAATAGTGTTTGGATAATAATCAGACTTAATTTGTTTGAAAGTAGGCATAAACCATGATTGATTTTCACGTTGACAAAAATTACACCGAAGAGTAAATTTAAATAAACTATGCAACTGAAGAATATGACATCAACTTCCCCGTAAAAATGGTAGCTGAAAACACGTAGGTATTTACTGCACCTAAGATTTTAAATGTTAAGACAGTCGTATTATTATTGGATTATTGTTCCCTTGGGTTCCTATGGCTTCAACTACACGTCTCCACTTGCTTCTGTCTTCTGCTCTACTTTTCACCTGCATCAATGTTAGTTCACACTGTTTCAACTCTTCTTCACACGATCTCCTCCATGTCATCCTTGAACGCCCCACTCGTCGCTTCCTTTTCGGGTTCCACTCGAGCACTGGCCTGAAGCGTGATGTCACCCAGCGGCCTCCTCAGCGAGTGTCCAATCCATCTCCACTCTCTCCTGCATATTTGTTGTTTGGCGATTGCTTCTTGTTTTGTTTCTTCCCATAGTTTCTTGTTAGTTCTTGTTCTTTCCGGCCATCTGATCTTCAGTATAGAGCCAGCGAAGACAGTTGTTGTTGATAAAGGTCTGCAACAGGCTGTTGGAAATATTCTTTGTGACCCACTGGCCAAGTTTCTGATCCATCCGTATAGAAGAACTGACTGACTTGACGTTTGTATTGAAAATCCGAATTTTGTTGTTGATGCAGGCTGAGTGACAGCGGAAGATTTCCAGATTGGTTTCATGTTGATAAATGTGTTTCTCGCCTTCCGGATTCTCGATTTGACACTCTCCTCCGTTCCTCCTATGGTTGAGACAATGCTTCCTAGATCAGTGAGTGAATGAAGTGACCTCTTTCAAATC